TCACAAAGGCTCTGCAGACTTTTGTGGATCCGACTGAAGAAAAGTTGTGCCCCAAATCACCTTATTTTCATTTTTCTTGCAACTCCAGCTCAGAGATCTTGAGTTAAATAGCTTTTTGATCCACAAATAACATTAATCAGGTGCTTTTTCTTTTCTCCTGAAGGTGGAAATTTTCCGACGAACCCAGACAAAAGAGTTCTTTATGTTTTCAGGCGACGTTTCTGGATGTTTTATGAAACAATATTTCTCTTTAGGACCAGTAGTTCTAAAATCAACTCATGTCTCTTTGTAAAAATTAAACTAAAAGTCAAAACAGGCTTCTAAAAGAAATGAAAAAAAGCTCAAAATTGTGTTAGAATAAACAGAAAGTGAAAATGAAACAAGAGCCAGCAGTGGGAAAAAGGCAGCAGGTTCTTTTAATTGGTCCACGTCAAATGGAGAAACCTGCTTTGTGCACAATTTTAAACTCTCAAAGGACTTTTTGTCCATTTTTCCCAATAATTCCCTTTGATTTTATTCCTCATCACAACCTAAACCTTCTGGAGGTTTATGTATGAGGGTCCTTGAAAGAGTCCGTTTGTTTGTTCCGGATCTGGTTGATCATTCACATGATTTTCTCTTCATTTCTGGTCGGAAATCAACTCTGTTCAGATTTTACAGGTTGTTCAGTAAGTCCTCATCCTCCTTCCGCTCCCTTTCGACCAGCTAAAGGCCGCTTGGAGCCGCTCTAAACTATGAATTAAAACAATCTGAGGCGCTGAATGTGTCCCGATAATCCACTGTCCCAGCAACAAATCTCCGGAGTCCCCAGAGAGCTCAAATCCAGTCGGAGTTTCAGCAGCTGAGCTCCCGTTCATCTTCCTCCAACTGGAGTTTAGCCAGAGGACACCACACCGGTCAGGGATATCGGCTACAAACTCTTCCAAAGTTTTTCTTTGCGATCGGAAGTCCTCAGAGAGTTTCCCAAAGTCACATCCAGTCGCTCAGATTCCCTCTTCTCTTCTCTTCTCTTCTATCCTCTTCTCTTCTCTTCTCTCCGTTGAGCTGTTTAACAACAGCTCGACGCCTATTTTGCTGCTGAGATTCCTTAATCGCAGCGATTTGGTCAGTGAGTTAGAAAAAGTGTGTGTTTATCAGCAGGTTTCAGTCCAAAAACTCACAGATGATCTCGTTTTATTGGAGTGAAACTGACATCAGTGATCAGGCTTCATGTGGGTTTTTGTTTTAGATCTTAAAGTGAAAGTTTTTGCCTCTGTTGGGAAGTCCTAATGAATCCCAACAGTGAGTGGCTTAAAGTCCTCGGTCTTCGGTCACTCAGTGGTCAGGATCCTCCCTCTGAGCCTCTGATTACAGCAGGATGGACAAAAATGGCGGAATGCAAACAGAGCTCATGTTTTGGTCGACTGTGGTCCATTTAATGACGTTTCCCTCCTCAAAATGAGCTCAAACCTTTACTCCTCACATATAAATTGCTTATATTCTTTAATCTTTAGTCTTTAATTGCAGGGCGCTTTTGGGAAATTACATTTTTCAAAGGTTTGAGTTCATAAAAAAAAGCGGAACGGCTTTTTTTTATTTGAAAAAGAAGTAGATTTCTATATTTTCCTGCCTCTACTTCAGTCCTCAGTGGAGCTGAGCCTGGTGGCTTTCCACTAGGCTCCTCTGGAGTCCACACTGCCCCCGAAATTAGCAAAAAATGGCCTTAAAATTAAGGCCTAAACTGGTCAGGATGAGAGGACAAATCAGGATTCAGCGTCTCTTCCCCACTGGTGCATTCAGGTACAGCTCGGAATTTCCACTAGTCAGTTAAAACGTTAAGTAAAGTTAATCTATAACAAATGGGAGAGAAAAACATAATTTTCTATTGATACGATGACATCACCACACTGTAAATCAGAAGTCTCATTTGGGTTTAAATGGGTTTTATTGCCTTTGATGTAAACGGAGATTATTCAAACGAACTCAAAGAGAAACCATTTTTATGTGAATAAGTTTGACGACAACTCTGCGGATAGTTTCTTATTAGAGGTATTTATTCCAG